GAGATGGGGAGCCCAGGTGTGGCCCAGGACACCAAAGGGAGGGGGAGGATTGAGCAGTCAAGAACCTGTCTTGGGCTGGGCACGGTGGCTCACTCCTTTAATCCCAGCACTTTGGGAGGCTGAGGTGGGCAGATTACCTAAGGTCAGGAGTTCAAGACCAGCCTGGCCAACATAGTGAAACCCTGTCTCTACTAAAAATACAAAAATTAGTTGGGCATGGTGGCAGGCACCTGTAGTCCCACCTACTCGGGATGCTGAGGCAGGGAAAATTGCTTGAACTCGGGAAGTGGAGGTTGCAGTGAGCTGAGATCACAGCACTGCACTCCAGCCTGGGTGACAGAGTGGGACTCTTTCTCAAAATAATAATAAGAAGAAGAAGAAGAAGAAGAAGAAGGAGAAGAAGAAGAAGAATCTGTCTTGGGGAGGTAGGGAGGCAGTGGCAGGTGGGAGCACACATGAGCTAGGGTCCAAACACTCATATATGTGTCACTGTCCAAGACCTCTCATATACCCCACAAATTCAAAGATAAATTAAGAATTTCAGGCTGGGCACGGTGGCTCAAGCCTGTAATCCCAGCACTTTGGGAGGCCGAGACGGGCGGATCACGAGGTCAGGAGATCGAGACCATCCTGGCTAACATGGTGAAACCCCGTCTCTACTAAAAATACAAAAACTAGCCGGGCGAGGTGGCGGGCGCCTGTAGTCCCAGCTACTCGGGAGGCTGAGGCAGGAGAATGGCCTAAACTCAGGAGGCGGAGCTTGCAGTGAGCTGAGATCCAGCCACTGCACTCCAGCCTGGGCGGCAGAGCGAGACTCCGTCTCAAAAAAAAAAAAAAAAAAAAAAAGAATTTCAGCCGGGTGCAGTGGCTCACGCCTGTAATCCCAGCACTTTGGGAGGCTGAGGCGGGTGGATCATGAGGTCAGGAGTTCGAGACCAGCTTGGTCAATATGGTGAAACCCCATCTCTACTAAAAATAAAAAAATTAGGCAGGCATGGTGGCACATACCTGTAGTTCCAGCTACTCGGGAGACTGAGGCAGAAGAATAGCTTTAACCCAGGAGGTGGAGGTTGCAGTGAGCTGAGATCATACCATTGCACTCCAGCCTGGGCCACAGACCAACACACCATTTAAAAAAAAAAAAAAAATCACCAGGCTGGGCAAAAAATTAGCTTTGCATAGTGGCTTGTGGCTATAGTCCTAGCTACTCAGGAGGCTGAGGCGGGAGGATCCCTGGAGCCCAGGAGTTTGAAGCTGCAGTGAGCTATGATCCCACTACTATACTCCAGCCTGGATAACAGAGTGAGATTCAGTTTCTAAACAAAAAACAAAGCAACAAAGACTGCAACCGCAGAACACTGAGCCCCAAGTGAGTGCAGGGCCGCGTGCTTCTGAGGGGCTGCATGCCTAGGAAGCCGCCCTGCCCCGACATTGGCAGCAGGAAATGTGATCCATTCCTGGATGGAGGTTGGGTAGTTCCCCAGCGCAGGCAGGATTAACGCGAATGACTATTGATTTTCTCGGGAGGGTGGCACCGTCAGCTAATTAGGAATGCTGTCTACTTTGGCTTACTGTGTGTTCAAGGATAAAACGACCAAACAAAATAGTCTGGATGATTTTGAGAGCTTAGCTGCATTTCATTCCTCTTACCTCTGAGTTTTAATGTAAGTCAGGGACCTCCTCACACAAGATTTATACTGCTCACCGTTCCTCTCAATTTTTTCCTCCGATTTGTCTATCCATTTTCCCCAGAGGACAGTGAATCGGGGCTCTGACAGCCTGCTTCACCTAAGAGCGCCAATCAATCCTCCCACAGGGTTTCCACTCAGCTTTGGCTGCTAAGTACATTTACGCGACCGAGCCGACGGGCTGTGCCTGCAGGCAACGGCGTCCGCCAATTTCCGTTCATTTAACGGCGAGACTAGGGGGAGCCCGCGCCGGCAGGCGTGTCCTCAGGAAGCGCAAATCTCACCTTCCCCTACTCCTCTCACCGCTAGATTAAAACTGCGCCCCTCGGTGGCTCAAGCCTGTAATCCCAGCACTTTGGGAAGCAGAGGTGAGTGGATCACCTGAAGTCACGAGTTTGAGACCAGCCTGGCCAACATGGTGAAACCCCGTCTCTACTAAAAATACAAAAATTAGCTGGGCGTGGTGGCACGCGCCAGTAATCCCAGCTACTCGGGAGGCTGAGGCGGAAGAATGGCTTGAACCTGGGAGGCGGAGGTTGCAGTGAGCCGAGATCGAGCCATTGCACTCTAGCCTGGGCAACAAGAGCCTCCGCCTCAAACAACCAACAAAACCAAACCAAAATAAAACAAAACAAAACCCTGCGCCCCTCCTCATGGCTATTCTTTTGGCATAGCACCTGCAAAATATCTTCCTTATTTATTTTTTTTGTGCCCATTAGAACGTAAGCTCCAGGCAGGCACAGCGGCAGGACTCAGGGGTCGGTGAGCGTGACGGGAGTGCAAAGTCAGTGGGGGATCCATCTCGTCTTAGGAGAGCAAAGACCTTCTCTCTGTCTTCCCTGGTTCCATAGCTGGCTCTATGAAATTAACTGCCAAAGGGCAGTTGAACGGGGGAACGGGAATACACATTTATTAATCTTTAATATCACCTGCACGGGGGCATTGCAGGAAAATAGGTGAAAACCCCCCAAGCCAGTGAATAGGGGAACTGGAAGCTGGTGTAGGCCACTTAGGGGAGAGTAACCGATTTTTAGGAAAAATGAATAGGTCTTTATGAGTTTGTGACAAAGTTTGTCTAGGTGTGGTGTGGACTTCGGCTGTGATAAGAGTCCGTCCTCCCGGGAAGGAATTTATGACAGTTTCTTTTGGAGGCTCCGTCTTTAGACAGGTAAGGGGAGAAGGTCTCTCTGCATTTGCTGTTTTCAAAGTGCCTCTCGCTCAAAATAATCAAGATACCAAAGCGGCATATTTTAGGATGGCATATTTTGGTTTCCTTCACTGTCTTAAGTTTTTGATATTTTGTTCATTATAAACTTTTCTTTGCATTCATTTTGACTTTTTAAGATATTGTATTAAAACATTATTTACCCTGATTACTGAGCGAGTGCCTCGCTCGCTTGCCTCCTTCTAGCCCGGGCCTGGCAGGGAGTTGCAACTGTTTTTCTCACTGCTGAATTCCCAGGGCCTACAACAGTGCTCGCCAAAAAATTAATACTCTTGGTTCTCCAAACAAAACATTCTGTAAGGACTGCTCCCAAATTCTTCCTGAACTTCACGAATCCTCCTGGCCAGGACACAGGATGTCAGGGGCAAACACCCTGAACCAACGGAGCTCAGGTTCCCTACTGCCCCGCCCAAGTCCGCTCCAAGCCCAATTACCCTTCCCCTTCCTCGTCGTCCCATCCTCTCCATGCCCCTTCCAGGGGGCTGGGTCGCGGCAAGAGCTCCAAGGCAGGATTCAAACGCCCTGGGGTGACGGCTGCGGGACACTTGCGGCGGGGCCGGGCAGGGAGCGCGAGACTGGAAGAGAGCCCAGGAGGGGAGGAGAGCAACGCTGGGTTTCTGGGGAGGGGTGGCGTGGGGCGCTGAAGGGGAGCGCGGGGAGTGGGAGGAAGTGAAGGAGGAGGAAGAGCATGGTGTGGGTGAGGCGCAAGAGGCAGAAGGTGGGGCGGGACGGAGGGCGGGGCGCTGCGTCCGGAGAAAGTGTAGACGCGCTGGGAAGAGAGCCCATGAAGGGAGAGCCCAGGGGCGGGAGGGCGCGGGAGTGTGGGCGGGGCGCAGTGGGGATGGGGGCGGGGGCGCGGGATGTGTGCGGGGGGCGCGTAGTGGAGCGAGAGTGCGGGAGTGTGGGCGGGGCGCAGTGAGGGGAGGGTGCGGAATGTGGGCGGGGCTCAGTGGAGGGAGAGTGCGGGCTGTGGGCTGGGCAACCAGTGGGAGAGGGCGCGGGAATGTGGGCGGGGCGCAGTCGGAATGGGGGCGGGGGCGCGGGATGTTGGCGGGGCACAGTTAGGGGGAGGGCGCGGGAGTGTGGGCGGGGCGCAGTGGGGGGAGGGAGCGGGAGTGTACGCGGGGCTCAGTGAGGAGTGAGTGTGGGGATGTGGGCGAGGCGCAGCTAAAGGAGAGTGCGGGGATGTGGGTGGGGTCCGGTGGGGGAGGGTGCGGAGATGTGGGCGGGGCGCAGTGGGTGGAGAGTGCAGGGATGGGGGCCGGGCGCAGTGTGGATGCGGGCAGGGCTCAATGGGGGAGGGTGCGGAGATGTGGGCGGGGCGCAGTGGGTGGAGAGTGCAGGGATGTGGGCAGGGCGCAGTGGGGGGAAAGTGTGGGGATGCGGGGCGAGGCGCAGTGGGGGACGGTGCGGGATGTGGGCGGGGCGCAGTGGGTGGAGCGTACGGGATGTGTGCGTGGCGCAGTGGGGGGAGGGTGCGGAGACCTGACGGCTTGAGGTTGCCCGGCTGGCTCGGCTCCCAGAGGCGGGTGCCACGCTGTCGCCCAGGCATCTGGCGTCTCCGGTGTCTGAGTGTCTCATTGTCAGCGCTGACACTCTTGTCCCAGCTACGGGCGAGGCCGGGCCCGAGGTGTGGGCGCATCTCGGGCAGGTCTTGAGAAGTCCAGCGCCCGTCGGTGCGGACAGTGGCGGGGCACTGCGGCGCTCGCCGCCTCCTTCCCGCAAGTGATCATCCTCCTGCAGGTGTCCTCGGGCCTCAGGTGGCTGCGCGTCCGCGCCATGGTGGACATTCTGGGCGGGCGGCACCTGGTGACCCGTAAGGGCGCGGCGGTGGAGGCCGAGGCGGCGCTACAGAACAAGGTGGTGGCACTGTACTTCGCGGCGGCCCGGTGCGGGCCGAGCCGCGACTTCACGCAGCTGCTCTGCGACTTCTACACGGCGCTGGTGGCCGAGGCGCGGCGGCCTGCGCCTTTCGAAGTAGTCTTCGTGTCAGCCGACGACAGCTCCCAGGAGATGCTGAACTTCATGCGCGAGCTGCATGGCACCTGGCTGGCGCTGCCCTTCCATGACCCCTACCGGCAGTGAGTGGGGGTCCTGGGGGGCGGGGGCCTCCGGGCGCGTCGCCCCCATCTTCCCCCAGGCCTCCCACTCTGCACTGGGGAGCTCTTTATGACGCCCCCCTCCCCCACCACCTCCCCGTCTCTTCGTTCACGTCCGAACTCGGGTAAATCACTCTCAGTCTCAGTTTCAGCCTCCCTTGGAGACCAGGGAGGGTGCAGACCAGATTCGAAAAGCCAGGGCATCGACACCCCCACGGGGCTCGTGGAGCATGGACGCGGGCCCATTTCTGCTTAGGGTCTGGAGCTGCGGGAATCTGCATTGGGAGGGAGCTCGCAGTGGTGTTGATGCTGTGGGTTCGTGGCTCGGCTCCGGGAACCGCCGGCCCAGTCAGCCCTGAACTCCGGGCGCCGCTGCGTCATCCTCCCAGTTAGTGGGCAGGAAGCACAGGGACACGACCTGGTGTCTGGATGCAGGGATGAGGGATGACCTGCGAGGACATCAGCTCTGTGACAGGCACCCACAGTGCAGGCCGTGGTTGGTGTGCTGGGAGGGAGGGACGGGGACTCCAGGGCTGGCAGGAACTCAGGTGCTGGCCACCTTTGCGGTTTCATTTTTACCGACGCTGATGGAATTTCATCACTAGAGAGGCATAAAACTCATTACTGTAAACTTTATTACTCTAGCTGTTGGAAAGGAGTGGGTAGGGACTGGCAGAGAGGGGCATATGGGGATTGATTGTTCTGCTTTTGGGGTGGGTCTCCTGTGGTCTCCTATGGTGTAAGAGTCCAGACTTAGGTTTAAAGCAGGCCTCGTCCATGCACACTGCTCTTCTGTTTCTGATGCTCTGGTCAAGCCTGTGAGCTCCAGCTAGAGGCAGTGAGCTGCCTGACGTGGGTCAGCGGTGCGCTCCAATCTTCTCAGCCTGATTGGCCTGGGAGGGATTTTTCTTTTTGTAAACTTAGCTGTTTGTCCCTACCCCTTTCCACACTGAACTTCCTTAACCCTGTTGTCATGTGTAAGCTAGGAAGTGGGATATTCTGTGGGAATTGTTGGAGCTATGCCCTAAATTCTGCTTATCCTATCCTGGATTTGTGGAATCAGATCATGAGGAAAATGGAAATAGCCACCGCCAAGAAGCACAAAGAAATGCACAAAGGCTTCAGGGGCATTTTGGGAAGTTGCTAATGTGTGCAGAACACAATACTTTGTGGTTGGTGCTGTGGAGAGGTGGGGCCCAGGTGGGTGGCATTATGGGAACTCCATTTGGCAGGTACAGGGTCACAGGGCCTCGTGCTTCCTTTCCTCAGAGGCCTGAGCTCATCACCCTCCTTCCACTGAATTCCTGGTAAATCACCTGAGTCAAGGGAGGAGAAGAAAAATGGCTGCTTCCAGAGAGATCACAGAATGGCGCCCTTGGGAGTTACTCGTGGCGTGGCTGGAGGTAGATGTGCCTGCAGGGAGAGGAGGCCTGGAGCCCTCACCTTGTCCCCTAAGCTGTGTAGATCTCAGCTTTTCAGTGTACCCTGCACCATACACTCAACACAGCAGTGACGACTGCCTTCAGCCCCCAGAGAGGCAACTGTTTACTAACGTCCCTGAAAGTAGAGATGCGGGTGTGTGGCCGGGGCTAGCAGTTCCCTGTCTAAGTGCCCCAGTGCAGGTGGGCTAGGAGGAGGTGCCAAGCCTTAATGTGGGGACAGCTGCGGTGACACATGCCAGCATGCCCTGGAGGCATGTTTCAGGATGAGATTCCATCCTGCCCTGTCTTTCTTCCCTGCATTACTGGGTTTATGAGTAAAACTCATTATTTGTCCAAGAATGAAGTAACGAGTTCTAGATTCACCAGCAGGAACTCCCATTACATGCTGCTGTTCACAAAAGACATGATCAATGGTGATTTTATATGATTTTATTATAATGATTGTCTCATAACAGCTGTCATCCCTACTTGGCCTCCAGAACGTCAGTGGACCCCAAAGAGCACTGGAGGAGGCTGTCCGTTCCTCCTGCCTGCTCAGGCTCTCAACACTGCCTCCTGGCCATGGCTGGTGGTGCAGTGTGCCTCAACTTCCAGGCCCACAAGTTTAGATCTGATGGAAAAGGAAAAACTGGCTGAAAAAAAGGGCTTCATTTCTCGGGTAGGGAATGGCTCAGTGGGGGAAGAATCAGTGCTTGTGCCAACGATTCCTGACTCTGCCTTTCCATCCCTTGACCCTCTCCAGCTCTGTGTTCCCACTGCCTCCTGGGCCCTCTGGTCTCAACACAGCCTCTGAATCCACTGATTTTGCAGCTCTCAGATCCTTCTCTGTCTTTCTACTCATTTCTGTTTCCTTCACTCAGGTTCTGGAGCTTTAGAATATTCCCCTAAGAGGTCTGCAGGGCCTTGGTGTTCCCATCTGATTGGCTCTTGCTCCAACTCTCCGGGGGTTTCCTGAGTTTCCACTGCCCACAGGACGGAGCCAGACATGGTTCAGTGCCTGGCATCCCCAGGGAGTGTGTTTGGTGAGTGGTTGGAGCAAGTGAGCAAAAGACAGTTCTGCAGAGAGATTTGCTTGGCCACAGCCTGCTCCTGGCTGAGATAACAGAGACTAGAGTCAGGAGTTGCTATGGCAACCCAGAAGTGTGGTTTATGCCAGCCACAAGGATGTGGCTGTGTTCGTTGAGGGCAGGGACCAACGTTGGTTGCAGCGGCGCTGAGGACAAGGAGGAACCGGGCTCTTGGATTTTCCCCAAAGGCTTGAAGTCCTAAGTTATTACCATGACAACGTTCTCTCCTCCAGAAACAAGTTCTTTTCTCTGTGGACACAGCTCAGGGCCCAGAGGGGACTGAGATGACGTTAGGGAAAAAGTGTGGTTCTTTGCCTCTCATGGCAGCTCCAAGGTTTCATTTGTCCCCAGGCAGAGGCTGCCGGCCTGGGGATTTGAGGGCTGGTACTGAGTGTCTCTTGGAATGTCAGTGAAATGACTACCTCAAGCCTCCCTCATTCCTCAAAGCCCAGCCTGCTCTGCATCCCCCTGACTGTGTCAGAGCTTGATTTAATGTTGCAAGTGATTAAAACAACAACAATGAGAACAACTCAAAGAGCTTAAACAGTAAAGGGTATGGGCTGGCTTTAATGAAACACCCATCAGCCAGAAGATGGTTTCAAGGGAAAGTTGGAGGCCACTGAGGATGACGCTTTGTGGCTTGTCTTTTGCAATGTCTGCCCCTTGCTCAGGCTACAGGCAGTGGCTGCCTGGCAAATCCTGTGTCTCCTCACGCTGATAGAATGGCTGCTGTGTCTCAGACTGCACATTGCCATACCTTCCTCTTTCCCGGCACACAGCCAAGTGCCACACCAAGCCTCGCTGATTCTGATTCGGCCAGTTCCCCATTTCTGTACTAGGAAGTGTAACCAGGGACCGCCAGATAGATATGCCGACTGCGCAGTCGGCCCAGGTGGAACTGGAGGTGGGCCTTTCCCACGCAGTGAGAACAGCTAGCATTTATCAAGTACTTATTATGTGCCAAGCCTCATTCTTCATCAAGCTATTTATTTAATCCTCACAGCAACTCCAGGAGGTGGGTTCTGTGATTCCCGTGGTGCAGATGAGGAACCCGAGGTGCAGGAGGTGGACTAGCTTGCCCGTGACACACAGCCAGTTCATGCCAGAAAACGAAGGAGACATGCTTTCCCAAGGAGGGTCACAGATGCTGAGCGCAGCAAACCATAGGCCTGTACCTCCCGTGCTGTCAGGGGCACCGTGCCCAGCCTCCTCTCCGCTCGCTCTCTCCTACCTCCTCCCAGTTGGTGCAGGGAATGCAGAAAGCCCTGGAAGACAGCTGCGGGGCTGGGCAACTTGAGCGAAGCATAAACCACCGGATGTCGGGCACCGCCCCAGCATCAGGGGTGGGGAGACTGCGTTTCTGATGAGTTTCCGGGTGATATTGGTGTTGCTGCTCCTGGGACCCCACATTGTTCCTGACAGTGCTGGTCAAAGGCTGGTGCATGGACCCGTGTCAGTTGGGAATCTGTCAGGAGTGCAGACGCTGTGGAACCTGGGGGTGCTCAGGAATCTGTAGGTGAGATACTGCTGCTGCTGCTGGCATCCCATCCCTTTCACGACCCACCTGCAGCAGCCCTCCAAGGAGTCCTCATGACCTTGGGGAGGAGGTTCCAGGTTCCTGGGATGACAGAGTCCCACCTGGTCTGGCCCCAGCCGGGCAGTCTGCTTTCCCTTCTGGAAGTGACGTGTGCGGCCCTGCCCTGTCCCACTGCCCAAAGTAGAGATGCTGAAATAACCCATTTGCCAAAACTGCTGGATAAAGAGCTTAAATCAGGCTGCTGGCCATTTTGCTGTAGTCTTTATGCAAAGAGCTACTTGATTGTTTCTCTTTTCTTCACTTTTTTCTTTTTCTTTCCTTTTTTTTTTTTTTTTTCTTTGTTTTTTTTTTTTTCTGAGATGGAGTTTCACTTTTGTTGCCCAGGCTAGAGTGCAGTGGCGCAGTGTTGGCTCACGGCAACCTCTGCCTCCCGGGTTCAAGGGATTCTCCTGCCTCAGGCTCCCAAGTAGCTGGGATTACAGGCACCCACCACCACATCCGGCTAATTTTTGTATTTTTAGTAGACACAGGGTTTCACCATGTTGACCAGACTGACCTCGGAACTCCTGACCTCAGCTGATCCACCCATCTTGGCCTCCCAAATTGCTAGGATTACAGGTGTGGGCCACTGCACCTGGCCACACATTTTTGTTTTATGCCTTTGGGAAAAGCTAACGGCTTAGGCATTTTAAATTTTAGGTGTTGTGCGGCCGGGTGCGGTGGCTCATGCCTGTAATCCCAGCACTTTGGGAGGCCGAGGCGGGCGGATCACGAGATCAGGAGATTGAAACCATCCTGGCTAACACAGTGAAACGCTGTCTCTATTAAAAATACAAAAAACTTGAACCCGGGAGGTGTAGCTTGCAGTTAGCCGAGATTGCGCCACTGCACTCCAGCCTGGGCAAAAGAGCGAGACTCCATCTAAAAAAATTTAGGTGTTGGGCAGGATTCGTAAGGTGCTAGAGAGGGACATCTCCGCCACATCTTTCATGCCCACTGCTGTCGTTCATTGACCTGTGCAGGCTCCATCCAGCTGAGTTCCACACGAGCCTCCCCTGTTGTGAGCACTCATGGCTGTTCGTGAAGGAGCTGGTGTCTCCTAAACCTGCAGTTTGACCTGAATTCACATCTGCTCTGTGTTTGAGACATGACTTTCTCAGTTCTGCAAATACAGTTTTGACTGAGTGGTCTCTGCTGTGTCTTTTTTCACTACGCATGATAGGTTTTAGAGAATAGTTTACATGTTTATTGTTTCCCACCTTTCCTTTCCCTCCCCAGGTGAGTCATTGGACACCACAGGAAGCAGGTCCGGAGCTGCCAGGGTGGGGGCTGTGTCCACTGGTTCTTTGGGGAATAGGCCTTTCCTGGCAGGGGTCATGCATCCCCAGAAAGGCCACAACCCTCCCACCAGTGTCCCCTCAAGAAGGTTCAGTCCACACTGGGCCTGTGTAATGACCAGGCTGGCCTGATTTTTTATATTCTTGTGCCTTCTCTCTTTTTCCTTACTCAATCTCAGTAGATTTGTTTTTTAGAGATAGGGTCTTGCACCGTCATCCAGGCTGGAGTGCAGTGGTGTGATCACAGCTCCCTGCAACCTTGAACTCCTGGGTTCAAGCAATCCTCCTGCCTCAGCTTCCCGAGTAGCTGGGACTACAGGTGTGCACAACCACACTTGGTTAATTTTTTTTTATTTTGTGGAGACAGGATCTTGTCATGTCGCCCAGGTATGTCTTGAACTCTTGGGCTCAAGTGATGCTCTCACCTTGACCTCCCAAAGTGTTGGAATTACAGGTGTGAGCCGCTGCGCCCAGGCTCAGTAGACATTTGTTTCACATGTTAGTGTTTCCTAAGAACCAGATTAGGTTTTATTGCTCACCCCATGTTGGTTTTTGTTGGTCCAACAAAAAAATAATTTTTGTTCCAACAAAAATTATTTCAGTAATTTTTGTTCTCAGTCTTATTCTGCCTTCTTTCTACTTTCTTTGTGTTTGTGCCATCCTTATTTTTCTAGTTTCTTGGATTAGATCCATAAGTCATCCATATACAAGTTTTGGATAAGCATGTTTAAGGCTACAGCTTCCTAAGTGTGTTTAATTGTGTTTACAGCTTGGGATTTGTAGTATATTCCATATTGTTCTGCTTTAAATATTTTGTCATCTGCATTGCTGTTTCCCATATAACATATAGTTAGTTTTAAAACTCATTCTTAAAAATGATTTCTTTTTGGCTGGGTGCGGTGGCTCAGGCCTGTAATCCCAGCACTTTGGGAGGCCGAGGCAGGTGGATTACGAGGTCAGGAGATTGAGACCATCCTGGCTAACACAGTGAAACCCCATCTCTACTAAAATATTACAAAAAAATTAGCTGGGCGTGGTGGCAGGCGCCTGTAGTCCCAGCTACTTGGGAGGCTGAAGCAGGAGAATGATGTGAACCTGGGAGGCGGAGCTTGCAGTGAGCTGAGATCATGCCACTGCGCTCCAGCCTGGGTGACAGAGTGAGACTCCATCTCAAAAAACAAAAACAAAAACAAAAACAACCAAAAAAGAAATCTTTGTTTTTTGATTTTTATTTTTGAGACGGAGTCTCACTCTGTCACCCAGGCTGGAGTGCAGTGGCGTGATCCTGGCTCACTGCAACTTCCGCCTGCCAGGTTCAAGCAATTCTCCGGTCTCAGCTTCCCCAGTAGCTGGGACCACAAGTGCGTGCCACCATGCCCGGCTAATTTTTTGTATTTTTAGTAGAGACAGGGTTTCACCGTGCTGGCCAGGCTGGTCTCAAACTCCTGACCTCATGATCCGCCCACCTCGGCCTCCCAAAGTGCTGGGATTACAGGCTTGAGCCACCGCTCCCGGCCCCAAAAATGATTTCTTATTGGTTTCCAATTCCATTACCTTTGGTCTCATTGAGTGATCTATATGTTATTGACCACTTGAAATTCGTTAAGACTTCCTTTGTGACTGAGAACATGATTGATTTTGTCACTGCTTCATAGATGTTTGGAAACAAAGCATATTCTCTCTCTGTTGAGCACAGGGGACACTGTATCTTTTCCTGCTTGAGTGATGGTGTGTTTTTCATGTGGATGCCAGAAACTGGCAGGAAGAGCTTGATGGACATGTCAAAGGGGAGATTTGCTAATAGGAGAGTCTCAAATGGGTTTTTCCTTCCACTCAGGTTCACAGTCCTGAGGGTGACAGATCAAGGAAATCTGATTACTGTCCCTGTGAGGCCCTCGTGAGCTGGCCATGGTAAACAGGAAAGGGATTTCACTCGGCTGCCCTCTCTTGAGGGTGTAATCCCAGTGAAGATCCCAAGAATTGCAAAACCAAGAAGGCAGATGCTCCTTTCCTTAAATGAATACAAATAATTTTGTAAAAAGACCACTCGTCAGATTATAGATACCGTAAATGTAAATGATATAAAATGAATCTAAGAAACCTCTCATCATTATAATGGCAATTGGTGCATCATTGAATTTGTAGAGTAGAAAGTCAAATGAGGCTCTAGATGTATTTAGAACTCATGGAATTTTAACTTTTTTTTTTCTTTTTTTTTTGTTGTTAGAAATGGAGTCTGTCACCCAGACTGGAATGTAGAGGCACTAACACGGCTCACTGCAGCCTTGACCTGTGCTCAAGCGAGCCTCCCACCTCAGCCTTTCGAGTGGCTGGGACTATAGGTGCGTGCCACCACGCCCAGCTAATTTTTTAACTTTTGTAGAGACAAGGTCTCACTATGTTGCCCAGGCTAGTCTTGAACTCTTGGGCTTAAGCCATCCTCTCACCTCACCACCTCAGTCTCCTGAAGTGCTGGGATTACAGGTGTGAGCCACCACACCTGGCTGGAATTTTAACTTTTACCATTATATGTATCTGATATTTTTCAACCCCTTGAGATGTAGAGGACATAAAAAATTACTGGGTTTATTTGTGGGTTCAGACCTGCACTATCCAATCTGGTAGCCACTAGCCACTTGTGACAATTTAAATTTAAAGTAAAAATTAATTAAAATTAACAATGAAAACTTCAGTTCCTTGGGCACACTAGCCACATTCTGAGCTCTCCCAGCCATATGTGGCCGGTGGCCACCGGATTGGGTAGCACAGATATGGAGAGTTCACTGCTGCAGGCAGCTCCCTGGGGTGGAACTGGGTTAGAAATGGTAGCACCAAGTCTGGGTGTGGTGGCTCATGCTTGTAATCCCAGCACTTTGGGAGGCCAAGGCAGGCAGATCACCTGAGGCCCGGAGTTCCAGACCAGCCTGGCCAACATGGTGAAACCCCATCTCTACTAAAAATACAAAAAATTAGCTGGACGTGGTGGCACACACCTATAATCCCAGCTACTTGGGAGGCTGAGGCAGGAGAATCGCTTGAATGTGGGAGGTGGAGGTTGCAGTGAGCTGAGATCACACCATTGCACTCTAGCCTGGGCAACAAGAGCGAAACTCTGTCTCAAAAAAAAGAAAAAGAAATAGTAGCACCAAGAAGAAAGGAGCCCCCACCCCAGCAGGAGGGAAAGCAGGAGCAGGCGGGGTGGGGCACACGGTGGCTTCCTCGAAGTTGGCTGTACTTCAGGTTGGAGGGAGGGGGCCTGTCTCTTCAGATGTGCATGTGGAAGTGCTAACTTCGGTACCACTCTTCTCTCCTGCAGTGAGCTGAGGAAGAGGTACAACGTCACAGCCATCCCCAAGCTTGTGATTGTGAAACAAAATGGGGAGGTCATCACCAACAAAGGGCGGAAGCAGATCCGGGAGCGGGGGCTGGCCTGCTTCCAGGACTGGGTGGAGGCAGCCGATATCTTCCAGAATTTCTGCGGTTGAAGTGGGAGGGATCTCAGAGAGCCAGGACAGGTGCTGCTTTTCCAGCACAGACGCTGGGGCAAAGAGGAGTATGCTGGGTTCCTTCCTCTGTTGGTGTGCTATTGTATTTCAGAGCAGAAGCACTAAGCTGTGTTCAAAAGCGACTATTGCTCAGGAAATAATGCACTCCCCGTTTTGATCATGCAGCCTGCTTGTATTACAGTTATTTTTGTTATTCTTTGCATACCTTTATCCACCTGTGCTTAAGGAAGGATTCTCATATGTTCATCCTGAGCTGTTGGAAATCTATGCAAGACATTTATTTGTACAAGTCTCTTCAGGTAAAATAATCTATTTATTGATAACATTTTCTGGTGATCTGTTTATTTTAATGATATGCTTTCACAACTATCTTAATAAAGTTTGCAAGCTGTGTGCTTTAACAAACAAGCCTATTGCCTTCTTTCTCATTCCAGTCCAAGTGCCAGTAGGAAGAAAAGGAGTCTCTTGACAAATACCATGCTTAAATATGTTTTATTTGTCACAGGTGGTAGTTTTTAATTATGTGTCATCTTGGAATTTTCTTCTTCTCTTTGTTTTCTTCACACTTATTTGTAACAGCATTGCAATATCCTAGAAAGCAATGAAATTTTCAAGGGTGTGTTTCCACATCTTCAAGATCAAACCTCAGTGTTACCTAAAAGTTAATAATCCATCGAAGTAAACAAAAAGCCTATTTACAATCGTTGTTAATGGTGGGAAAGCCATCAGTGGTTCAGATTACTGTCCCAGCCTGCCCTGTGGCCTCTTGCTGGCGGGTCTTTCCTGTTTCTTTCCAGCCTCATTCTTATCCAATCAGCTGGGGTTGTGAAAATACCAATACCCGTCTCTGGCCAAGTCCTCACCTGCAGATCCGGTCAGCTTGCTGGGTTCCTCAGCTGAGAATTTGGAGCAAAGCTGACACCACTATGACCAGGGATAGCAGAGTAAAGAAGCCCAGTGGGTGACACTCAGTGAACCCGTGCAGACATAAGCTGTTAGTTAATTTGTCCCTTCAATCTCCCTCACCCTCTGTGCTGTCAGTTAACTTCCCTGACCACTGAGACCCAGTCTCCTGGGGGCCCTGTAGGTTGACTAAGGGTGCATTTATGCTAACCTGATTGTTATTTGCCGCGTCCCCCCCCCCAAGTAAGTCATGTAAGAATTCAGTTTTCTTCCAAAACTCAGAGATGGGGTATTTTGGTATTTGGTAATTATAGTATTTTCTTTTTTTCTGTTTCTTTTTCTTTTTTTTTGAGACAGAGTTTCACTCTTGTTGCCCAGGCTGGAATGCACTGGCACGGTCTTGGTTCACTGCAGCCTCTGCCTCCCGGGTTCAAGGGATTCTCCTGTCTCAGCCTCCCGAGTAGTTGGGACTACAGGCGTGCGCCACCACGCCCGGCTAATTTTTGTATTTTTAGTAGAAATGGGGTTTCATCATACTGGTCAGACTGGTCTCGAACTCCTGACCTCAGGTGATCTGCCCACCTTGGCCTCCCAACGTGTTGGGATTACAGGTGTGAGCCACTGCGTCTGGCCGACGCATACTTTAGTATTATAAACATCCCAAACAATTTTTCTTGATGTAAGGCAAAGTATTCCAGCCTTCTCTCTGAGAACTGTGTAATTTGTGACTATTTCTACAAGTACCTTGTGCCGCTTGTGTTCCAGAAGCAATACGTGCTCACTGTGGACAAACATCAGGAAAAGAATTCCATCGTTCTGAGGGAAAGCCACGATGGATGTTTTAGTCCATCTATATGTCCCACTAAAGTCACCACCTTTTTATTTTTTCTGCGTGTACACATTGCTTTTCATCTTTATACACTTGCCACTCTGCCTGTGGACATAGACAAGCAGTGGCAGCGTGGTGTGGGCACCATGGGGTGGGGGTTGAAAGACATGCAGCATTGTTGTGACCCCGCCCAGGCCCACGTCTCATCCAGACTCCCTGGTTAGCCCCTTGGGCACTAACATCTGAGAAGCACGGCTCTGCAAAGGTGTCTTGTCCACTAAATTTGTTGAAGTCAATCCACTGATTTCAGTCAATCCACAACTGGGGCATCTTTATCAAAGCCCAAGGTGCTCCACAAGCCATCAGGCCTAGGGCAGGTGGGGGCCCTCCCCTCTCTCAGGAGAGGCCCAGCCACTGGCATTCCTGTAGGAGCGCGTGCAGGCCTTGGGGAGACTCATGAAGTGTTGGTCACTGTGCACTCGAGAGGGGCAGTCACTGAGAGAACACACATATACACCACATATACAACCTACACACACCACAAACACACACACAGACACAGACATTCCTAGAGAAAGGAAGACGAGGGGTAACACAGAGCTCACCAGTCAGGAGAATTATGCTCTGTTGGGCTGGACTGACTTAGGCAGAATTTACAAACACGATGACTCACCATGGGAGGTACCTTAAAACCCTATCCTTTCAATAGGGTGTCCTGTGCTAATTTTGATTGAAAAGAGCATCTGTTTTAATCACCTCCACTTTGCCAGCTATCTAGAACCTTTGAGCCATTTGGTAAACTGGATTACCCTTCTCTCCTGCATTTTTGTTTAAGAATTATCTTATCTGGGCTGGGCACTGTGGCCTGTAATCCCAGCACTTTGGGAGGCTGAGATGGGTGGATTACCTCAGGTCAGGAGTTCAAGACCAGCCTGGCCAACATGGTGAACCCTGTCTCTACTAAAAATACAAAAATTATCCGGGCATGGTGGCAGGCACCTGTAATCCCAGCTACTCAGGAGGCAGAGGCAGAAGAATCGCTTTGAACCGCGGAGGCGGAGGTTGCAGTGAGCTGAGATCACTCTATTGCACTCCAGCCTGGGCAATAAGAGCTAGACTTTGTCTCGGAAAAAAAAAAAAAAAAAAGAAAAAAGAAAAAAGGCTGGGGTGCTGTGGCTCACGCCTGTACTCCCAGCACTTTGGGAGACCAAGGTATGCGGATCATGAGGTCAGGAGATTGAGACCATCCTGGCTAACATGGTGAAACCGTTTCTCTACTTTAAAAGAAAAGGAAAAAAAAAAGAGCCAGCATGGTGGCACGTACCTGTAGTCCCAGCTACTCAGGAGACTGAGGTGGGAGAATCGCCTGAACCTGGGAGGTGGAAGTTGCAGTGAGCTGAGATGGCACCAGTGCACTCCAGCCTGGGTGATAGAGCAAGACTCCGTCTCAAAACAAAACAAAACAAAAACAGAATTATCTTATCTGGCTGTTTGCTTTGTGTGTGTATTTTATTCTATGTACTTGCCATGGTCTGAATGGTTCCATCCTGTGTAATTCCTGTGTTGAAGTCCTAACCCCCAGGTGATGGTAGTGTTAGGAGGTGGGGCCTTTGGGAGGTGATCAGGTCAGGAGGGTGGGGTGGAGCCCTCATAAATGGGAGTAGTTGTTTTAATTTAATTAATTTAGGAGAGCTAAATAATTAAACATGAGGCCAAAGTACATAAGAAAGTGGTAGTCTTTTATTGCAAATATGCACACATTCTCGGGCGAAGTTCTCTGGTCCTCAGGTGTGCGGGGCCAGGGAAGTCGCGCCGGCGCTCTCGGGTGATGTTCTCCGGTCCACAAATGCGGGGGCCGAAGAAGTCACACCGGCTCCTGCCCGCAGCGGACTTTTATGCATTGGTACTGGAAGGGGGAGGGCAGTGGGCGGGATAAGGGCGTGATAGGGGCGTCTCCGTAGGCGTGGCCGGGTAAGTTTCGATTTCTTCGGATTGACATCACCTGGCGCATGCTCGGTTGATCTGCATCTTCCTGGGGTGGGCTGCATTTTCCCGCGCGCGGGAAAGTTGGTGAGGAAGAACCCGGAAGCAACATGGATTATGCCTTCTTGTTCACCTTCCTCCATCTTGTCCCTTCTCCCTCACCCAAACAGTAGTGTCCTCCTAAGAGAGACCCTCACCCCTTCCGATATATGAGGACACAGTGAGCAGATGCCATCTGTGAGCCAGAAGTGGGTCCTTAGGAGACACAGAAACTACTGGCATTTTGACCTTGGACTTCCAGCCTCCAGAATGGTGAGCAATGAATTTCTATTATGATAAACAGCCTCGTCTTTGGTATTTTGTGATAGCAGCCTGAACAGACGAAGGCAGCGCCTATAAGTAGTTTAACCTGAATCCTCCGCTGGCTCTCCAGGTCTTCTCTCGACATACGCAGACACATATTGTGGGGAAAAGAAAGATCAGACTGTTACTGTGTCTATATAGAAAGAAGAAGACATAAGAGACTCCATTTTGTTCTGTATTTGAGATGCTGTTAATCTGTGACCCTACCCCCAACTTTGTCCTTGCAAGAGACATGTGCTGTGGTGACTCAAGGTTTAACGGATTTTGGGCTGTGCAGGGTGTGCTTTGTTAAACAAGTGCCTGAAGGCGGCTTGCTGGTGAAAAGTCATCACCGTTGTCTTAATCTCAAGTACCCAGGGACACGTATACTGCCAAAGGTTGCAGGGACCTCTGCCTAGGAAAGCTAGGTATTGTCCAAGGTTTCTCCCCATGTGATAGTCTGAAATATGGCCTCGTGGGAAGGGAAAGACCTGATCGTCCCCCAGCCTGACACCCGTGAAGGGTCTGTGCTGAGGAGGATTAGTGTAAGAGAAAAGAAGGTCTCTTGGCAGCGGAGATAGAGAAAAGCATCTGTCTCCTGCCTGTCCCTGGGCAATGGAACATCTCGGTGTAAAACCTGATTGTATGTTCTGTTTACTGAGAAAGGAGAAAACCGCCTTAGGACGAAAGGTGGGGCTTGCTAGCGCAATGCTGCTCTTTATGCACAAAAAAGGTTTATGGAGATGTTTACATATGCATATCAAGGCACAGCACTTTTCCTTAAACTTATGTCACGGAGATCTTTATTCATATGTCTTACTGCTGACCTTCTCCTT